CAGCTATTAACCTCTGCCCAGGAGATAATATTGGTGGCYTTGGGGAAATGGTGCTTAACAAGGGGTGGTTGCAGTTGAAACAGTACATTTAGCTCCATCCTTAGCTGTACCTACCAAAAGATATACTGAAGATGCATGATGAATTAGATAAGGGATGAAGAGTATCAAATATTTCCCCCTCTTGAATGAGGAAGAAGATATTTGAAGATTCAATAGTTCATTGTGTGGATTATTTTAGGTGAACAATGCATGAGRAATCCAGTGGGACACCCTTCTTCAAACCTTTAACGTATTCTCTGTGAAAGTTCAGTAGTGCYTAGTTAAACCCAGTAACATTTTTCTTAATACATTCTGTGATAAAATTGCAACAGAACCTTATCTGTTCTCTTCTGCATTGGTGTTGTGACWTAAATAAAAATGCTTGTTTTAATATGAAGTAGGGATACAAAAATGGTTTCCAACTATGTAGAGAGTTTTAAGGAGAGCATAGAAGCATGACATAGAGATACTATGTATTTAGCTTGTTTTTCTTTCTTTTATAGGATAACTGACATTGTCATTTAAATATTACTTTCATACTTATCTTTTAACATTTTTAAGAGCTAATRTGAGAGCTGGTAGATAAAAATATTGTCGTTTTGTATGCATATGTGCAGTAATGTGATGTGAAGATAGTAAAAGATGGGAAAACCTGGAGTTTCTCTTTGCCTGTAGGCATTCTAGATAAGCAATGGCACTACAGAGGTGGTAGTGAAATTACTTAGTAACACTGGATTTTTAAATTTTAATATGTTCACTTGGGAAATAAGGCTGTATGGGTAATGCCACAAATACAGTATACTGTTAGTGAGTTKTTCATGTGACCATGCGAAGCTTGTTGTGGGACTTTGATTTCTRTGTAGTGAGATTTCTGTTTGTGTCTATGGATTTCTGTGGGTTTTTAGCTAGTGGTGATTTCATTAAGAGGAATCGTGACCCAGAAACATCTCCACTTTATCTATCAGAAGAGTGGCAGTTKCACTCAACACTTAGATTTGCCCTTGTTTTTACAAGGGAGAAAATGGTATCTTTTAAAAAGTTCCTTATGCAAAGGAAATTAGGCCTTCCTTAAGGCCAGCCATATCTAAAATTACTTCTCTGGATGGCTGTGGAAATTCCATTTTGGTTCACACATCTGGGAATTAACAAACTGTCAGAACTGTCCAAGGAGAAATTAGTAGTACTCTGAATAAAGCCTTAGTTCTACAGATTTCAGCCATGTATCTAATTCCTCCAAAGTTTAAAAGTAGAATCGGAATATTTGCAGTGCATGGTTATCCAACAGCTGGAAAGTGATCTGTCACTTTTCCTGAGCATCATCAAACCCAGCTGAAAGCAGAGGATAATGTCTGTGATGAATGATGAAATTTTGTGCTTGTTGGCTTTTAGTGTTAACCCTTTCCAATGTGCCATTAATTTTATCCTTCACCACTAGAAGGTGAAGTAGAACAGACATGGAAAGGCACAAAATTCTGCATATGAAATCATTCACCAGCCTGTACTTCAGTTTTCAAACCACTGAAGTATTATAGGAGCCTGGATCACATCAATTTTCGGGGGGATTTATCTTTCGCTCCACATAAACACATACATATATGTGTATGCTTTGGCCTCCCTCATTCTTGAAAATAATTCTTGTTTAGTTTTGTAGTAGAAAATCTGATTGTGCAAGAAACTAATATTCCAATTCTAAGAAGTTAAAATGTCATTCCAGGGCTGTCTTAAAATTGTGGTAAGAGGAAAGATGTCTTGAGAATGTGTTTTTCCCCACCTCCCCCCATGCACAGAGCAGCAATACTTGGAATTTCAGTGTTTTTATGGAATATAAATTTGATGTTGCACTTCTGTTGCTGGTTTGCAGTCTTCCCTCAACTGATTTGGCATATGTGGAAGTAATTTATTGTTTGTTAAGGGTGAGAACTCATATGGTGCCTATGTAACTTCTCATTTCTCTTGCTTAGGACAAGACAAGGAGAGCTCAATACTGCAGAGTTTATTACAGGGATTTGTTTCCTTTTACTTTCTGGTATTCAGAAGAACGCTGTATTTGTCCATTGTGTATTCACAAGTTTGTTTGGTTATGGGTGTGTATGTRTGACATGTTCTCACTGCTTCCTGAACAAATGCAGGGCATAGAAATGTTAATACCCTTGCTCCATGTTTTACTAACCACAGTTTAACATAATTTTGGGACCACCTAACCATCTATTAGCAAGAAAAGTTGAAACCATAAGAATGTAGTTTCCTGTAATTTTTTAGRAAAATTGTGGTGTTGGAAGTGATCATGTGAGTTTTACCAGCTACTTCACAATTATCAGAGAATTTTAAGAAAAGTGGAATAACAGCATTGTAAATGAAATGAGAAGTCTGAACAGAAACTGAACCAGGATAATGAAACATTAAAGTTGAATATTGCTATACATGTCATACAGAAAGAGTGAAAAGGGCCTCTCTGRTTTTCTGTATTCAGACACCTGCTGTGTAAGATAGCCTTCATAACCTGATTATTCTTATATATATTCTAGCAGGGGTAATTTTAAATTATATCAAAAGTGAACAATACGTAAAATCAGTCTTAATACTTTTCAAAATCGGGCTGTATAAAAATTTCTATTTGTTGGCTAGGTTGTAAAATCAAGCAAAAAACCCACCAAAAAACGCACCAAAAAAACCCAAACTAAAACAACAAAAAAACCCACCAAAAAACCCAAACAAAACCAACAAAAGAACCAACCAAACAAACCCAAAACACCTGTCCCCCTCAAAAAAGAAGATTTCCAAAGTGAATGAAGAAGTAAATTCTTCATTTTTAATTACGTGCTAGATTGTATTGCAAATTTTAAGAATTCGTTTCTAGGCACTGATACTAGTTGAACTCTTGTAGGTTAAATGTCTACTAAAAAGAAAAAGGTGATATTTATTAGGTAATTCTTGGGGAAGATAGGAACTATCAGTATATTCAAAAGTGTATTCAAATACTTTAAAAAAAAAAATCCTTTTCCTGAATATTAAGTTTCTTCTTGACGTTTTAAGTTCTCTTAAGATTTGTGGTGCTGTGGTACTGAGAGGAAAGATGGCTTCAGAAACATGTAGTTTGTTTTCTATGATTAACTTTTGAGGTTCTCTGCAATAATCCTGATCATAGTGGAAAAGCTAATGTTTTATATGCATGGTACAGACCTTTTAGTAGTTATAATCTACCAGAACCTGTTCATTACCGTTCTTTCACATTTAAGTGAAACATTTGATTAATCTCCCCTTCTTTAGCTGTATTGTGTTTTAAGTTATTTATTAGTTGCATAGTGTACAATGCACGCTGTGTGTGAATTTGCCGTTTGCTAAGGAAAGGTAGCCATCCACTGCTGCTTTCTTATCTTCTTCAGTAGYACATGGATTTAGAGTAAACACTTTGCCTGAAATGATTGTGAAATGCAGTTTAGTTAGCATGCTCTACAATTAGCATTGTAGAGTTCAATTAAGTGTTAATAAAKAAGGGATTTTCTATCTTTAGATGTATGGTCTCTTGTTACTGTATTCAACTTGTATATCCAAATTGCTGTAGAATACTTGTGTGCATCATACATGCAATTTATATTCAGCACAATCTATCAAATACCCAGTGACTGTGAGTTCTGAATTAATACAAAGTCTTCCTCACATCCCTGTTTCCTGTCACAGAAATGGCCTATTTTTCCTACAGATTTGAYCTAACTAGCTTTTTTTCCCCATTATTTAATATGACTGCATTATAAACACGTCTGCGTTCTCCTGTTCGGGACTTACTATATGTCAGTTGCTTTTTGTCCTATTTTGTGTTGTGTGCCTCTTTTTCCATATAGAGTATCCAGATTGGTGACCTTTAATATACATGTTTTCTCCCCCATTAGTACTATTTTATCCTGAGAAGGCCTTTTCAGTCACCTTCCTTCCTCATGGAAACACTCTCATTACAGTTGCTCCTGTTTTCCTTTCCACTGATGGAAGTTGGTCACGTTTGCTCACGGCTGTGTAATCAGACACTCTTGACTAAAATCAGCTAACATGTACTTGGAGATATAGGCATCTGAAATGACCTCAGAACAGAAAACATGTTATTCTTTTCTGCTTGTCCTCTGGACTTGTCATTTGGCTCATCCTTCAGCTGGCAGTCGCTCCATCTGCTTTTCCTTAATGTAGCTGTGGCTGGTTCCTTTGTTCCCACTGTAGTGGATCTCACCGAGCCGTTCATCTTTGGTGAACCCCAGACCAGTGGCTGGAGCAGTGTGAGCATATGCAATGCTGCTCTGGTCTCCTCCCATTCTGCACTGCTACAAATTGCTGTATTGGATGATGGCAATGCCATATGTGCACAGGCCATATGGTATTTTCTCCTCAATCTACAATTGCCTTTTTCCTCATGCGTTGTAATAGTTTACTGTATGCATGTAAGTTCAGTTTGTCTTTTGGAAGCTGTTTTTATTTGCTAGGGTTAGAGGCATGTACTTACATGGAAAACCTAATTTTGCAATAAACACTTACGGGTAGTAATGGATATGAGATAATGCTCTGGATTGAACTGAAGACAGCCCTTAAAAGAAAACTGTTAAAATGATGTCTATACCTTTACTGTTAAGGAATCAAGCATCATAACTTGTGGTCATTTTCATTTATATGGGTATGAGGAATGAAACTTGGAAAACACGCCTCCCAGAGAGTTTTCATGAGCACTTAATTTTGCTTTTATTCAGGGAGAAACACATTAAACGCGTGCTAATTATGAGTTTTGCAGCAACTTGACTGCTAACTTGAGGTTTGTGTCTGTAGCCACATACTGCATTCTTTGAATTCATCTTGGTGTAATATTTTTAAATATTTCAAACAGCAGATGTGCCTTGCTTATAGATTTGTGTAAATGTTGGTGCAGTGTATACAAAATACATCTCCCGTACAGTGATCTGTTGACATTATTCTCTGTTGCTTAGCTTCAGACACTAAAGTCATGACATGTGCTGCTGTTTGGAGGATGCCGAAGGAATTGGAATCAGGCAGTCATGAATCCCCTGATGATTCATCAAGCAACACTCAAACCCTGGAGCTACTCTGTCACCTTGACAACACAGCCCATGGCAATATGGCCTGGTAGGATTCTGCATATTTTATACTCCTAGAAAAAGCCTAAAGGATAGACCCATGCTGTTAGTTTTGTGCAGATTTATATTGTAGAAGCTACACTATGCACTTTAAAACTATTCCATCTTTAAAAAAAGTATAAATTGGATTTTTTAGTCCCAGATGTTTCATAGATTAAAAACATTTATTATAGTCCTGCAAACACATATGGAGTAACAGCCTKTGTGCCGTTTTAATGTGCTTTTCCCCACCTGCCCCCATCTAAAACCTTTGTTGCACGAAAGTATAATACTTAGAATTTCAATCTTTTTATGGAATATAAATTTAATGTTGCACTTCAGTTTTTGTTTTTTAGTCTTCACTCAACTGATTTAGCATAAGCGTGAGTAATTTATTGTTTGTTAAGAATTCACTATGTTATATGCCGTCTGTGTAACTATTCTTTATCTCTTGTCTAAGTCAAGACAAGGAGAGCTGCAATACTGCAGAAGTTGTTACAAAGATTTGTTGCCCTTTCTAATATTTAAAAGAAAGTTAAAATTTTCCATTGTGTGTTTGCAAGTTTGTTGCTTTATGGATAGTGTATATGACATSTTCTCACTGCTTCCTGACCAGATGCAGAGCGTATCAGAGGTTTTAAGCATCCATTTCTAGCCAAAGATTTTAACCTTGCAGATTAAGTCTTAACGAAAAAAAAAAAAAAAAAAGGTAAATTGACGCTAATATTTATTAGGCTGCTTTTGGACAAGATAGTACATATCAACGCATTAAAAAATGTATTGTATAGATGAGCTTTTTTTAAGATGCAGGTTTTCTGAATGTTAAATTTCTTCATACTARTATCCTTTACTTCTTTGCTACACTTTTTAATGAGTACCCCTCCTTGTAATGATTTTATTACTTTAATTCCATTTTTATTGTTGAAACCTTTTGATAATTAATACTTCCAACTATATTGGAAATTTTTTTTATTTGTTTTAATCTTTATGTTTTACACCTTTAAGATTTGTGCCTTTTGTCTTTTAATTTTCCATAGTTGGTTTCTATCTGATGGTGRAATGCCAGAATGTTGCATGGTAGCCAGATCTCTAAAAGAGGGATAAGAGGCACATTACTGCTTTTTATCAGGATGTGAATTACGTGAATGCCTAAACATAGTTTTTTTTCCACTAATAACAGCTTGTAACAAGTTCACGTGTAGTTTTCAGTCATCTGCTATCTGATTTTCTTCTGTATTTAGTGCTCACAAATATCTGTTACTATTTAACGTCCATTGTCTATGTGCATGTTCATATGTATGTGCATAGAGATTTGAAAAGTTCCTGTGTTACAGAGATAAAAAGTGTAAACTGAACACTTGGCATTAGTACTCTTCACATCACCTCAGGCAAGCACAGCTGATTTAGAGGATCTTGTTCTAGAGCAGGCTTTTCTACTCCGGTCTCAATCATATTGGACACAGCTCATAAATGAGTAAATTCTGYCTTTTGTGCTGTGTGTCACTKGCAGGCCATGCCCCACTGACTGGTRTGTTGGCTWMAAATAGCAATGTAAATAATCTTTGTATTACACTTCTCAAGTGTTTAGAAAAGTATGACGCTATTTAGACACTAAGGGTCCAATTGTAGTTACAACCAAACATAAATCAGAAAAGCGATTTTCCTCAATGCAAAGTGCAAATACCTTTCAAACCACAATGYAAGAGCACAATTGCTGTGAGATCAGTGGTGGTCTGGCACTGTACACTTGCAGTAAGAAGGCTCTGTCGTTAGCCTTGCCATTAGAACATGCCCTTTATTTTGCTCTGAAAACCACAGGCTGAGCACTGGACCTGAGTTCAGTGTGGCCATGTGCACTTTAAGGAGATTGCAATAGAGCAGTGTACCACAGCCATGAACGACTGGATACAGACTCCACTTTTTAAGTTAATTTTGAATATTATTAGTCAGAATCTTGCTAAAAATATTAAATTAAAAAACTGGGCTTCTATGATGCATCCAGAGGAGTGGCAGTGTTGTCAGTACAGTTTAAAGATGCAGCGTGTAATGTTGGTCTCAGCCTTTATGATACTGACTCCAGATAGCAGCTCATAGGAWGGTTTTTTTTGTGTGTCTTGGTGTCCGTAGTGCAGATGTTTCATGATATTCATGGATCTGGTCACAGATAATAGGTAATTGAGATGTGATTGTGAATCAGGAAAAAAAATAAAACTGTCTCGAAGATGCAACTGGTCATGTACTCTGGCATCYACCACCCACCTCAGGGTTTTATTTGCTGGTAGTTTTGTTTGTGCTTACCCTGCTCTGCTTCATTTCTTATCTAGCTTTCTTAAGGTTTATTTTCTCACACGGCTTTTCTCTTCTATTAAGAAAGCCTGATAGTTGAAAAATTACCTGACAGGTTTTTCTGTTTCTGGTATCAGGCACTGGGAAACACAAGAGGGARTTTTTTATGGGTCTGGTGTGTCAGGTATTTGTTTGTTCAACTCTGTACTGATGTTAAGAACTGAATCTGCATTTTTTTTATCTTTATCTCATCTCCTTTGTGGAATGCTGTGCTCAAATGTGTCTGAATTTTCTTATTAAAAACCACCAGGGACATATTTAATACCAGCTCTCTTTTGTGAACCAAGACCWAGAGAGCATTTTCAATCGATTGTGACTAAAATCTTAAACTTAGCTGGTGTGTGACTGAGCATTGTGCTCTTCCCACTCAAGATCTATTGAAATAATTTTTTAGTCTTGACAAAACCTTTGGCAAAAATCTAATCTTCAAGACATAACAGGCAAGTGAAGAAGAAATTTGCTTTTCTATAGTTCCATTTTATCTGGATCACATGAGTTACTGTGTGTAAAAATTAAGCACAGCCATTCATTTCTAGTTACTGAGATTGTTAACTGCCTCCAAGCTTTGAATTTGGGACTCATCAGAATTTTTACTCAAACTCTTGTAGGGCATAGAGTTCAGAAAATTAAACAGATGCTTAAATTAGGCAAATAGGCTTGTTAATTGTTCTATTTGGTTCAAGCCTAAGAATTTTTTTTCATCCTCTGCCTGCTGTTCCTCATGTAAGCYAAAGTGCAAAAATCCTGAGTGAATTACTTTCAGAGTGGAAAACACCGGATACACATGGAAATTTGTGTGTTTAAAAAGAAAAGAAAGTATCTTCAATATGTTAATTCTGTATATAAATATATGTATTCATACAGAGTTAAACACATATAACCAGTAGTATGTTGCTTTATGCAATGTTGTAAGGTCCATTTAAAGGAACTTGCCATTGGATATCTTGCCAGAAGCAGTCCAAGGTACTGTCTGCATAGGAGAAGCCAAGGAAACAGGACAGCAGTTAATGAGATTTTGTTATTCTTCTGAGCTTGGAGGAATCCCCAGAACTCTTGTCTGTGAAACCCCTGAAGACTTGTATTTTAGCAGTAATCTACTGAKCTTCTTCTCCCTCAGTTTTGCTGCAGACTTTTTTTGGTAGTCGACTTGACAGGATAGTCCTTGGAGGAGGAGAATACTACAGGCCATAAGAGAAAGTGTAATCTGTGAGATCTTGAATTCATAACACAGCAGGGAGTTTCGGTTGCATCTGCTGGAAGCAGGCGTGCTTCTGTATGCTTAACATCCTACTTTTTCTGTTCCAAATGTGGCAGGTAAAATAGGGTAGGTCCTGCTTGGTACTAAGCTACTTACTTCAAAACAGAGGGGAACAAGTGAAGTAGGTTGGATTGTGGTTTATGGAGTAAATGTGGAATAAAATGAAAATAAATAAGGGGAAAGTATTAGATCAACAGTGAAAWACAACTCTAAAGGGAAAATGAATGGTGGTTGCAGAGGCAGTGTAAGTAGAGGCTCAGTTCTGAGAAGCCTGAAAGGTGAGGAATGAAGAACTCATGTTTTATACAGAAAACAATAGCTGCTAAAAATTTTTTTGAAAGGGGTGAATATCTTAGAAATAACAATAGATTCCTTCATTAGGCTTCTCTATTGGCTCAAGTTGGTTTTTTTTTTGGTGTGTATTCCACTCAATCAATCCTAGGTACGAACATGCAAATATTGCCATATCTAAGAGAACATAAAGAAGACAAATTATAATTTTTTTAGAGTCACATAAGCTTCAAGAATTCCAAGATGTTTATCACTAAAATATTAAATTAGAACTTTGAATTAATGAAAGCGAAGGTTATTATAAATGAGATATTCCCGTGTATTTTAAGTGTTTAGATTTTATTTGGTATTTCATTGAAGGTTGGTTGCTAAATAGAGTACAGAGAAGTGCCGTCTCTTCCTTGGCTGTACACAGTACAAATCAAACTCATTAAGGTTGGCTTTTTACAGAAGTATGAATTAGCTGTAATAGTCCTTTCAATTTGAGTAGAGATTTAATTAATTTAAAATAAACAAGGTGCTATACATATGAGTTCATTGCTTCCGTTTCCTCATGTTTATTCCATTAAAGAACACAATCACCTAATCAAAGTTAGGCACATTGATAATTGATGCCCTGAAGACAAATGAGTGAAATCCAGTAGTGTTTTACTTACTCTTGGCTTTTAAATATTATTTGAAAAAACCCAAAAACCTCCAAAAAACAAACCACCCCTAAATATGTTCAAGTAAACAAAGCCAAGTRAGAAAATCTGAAACTCAAAAGAAAAGTGCAGACAGTGTTTTTAGTAGCTCTAACACTTTTGTGTGATATTCAGGTATCACTTCTTTCCTATCATGATGTTGGTAATGTTACTTCTTCTATAGTACCCCTTTTGTTAGGCTTCAGGACTATATGTTGAAGTTCTAGCTTAGAGTTTAATTTAAAAAAAAAGTCCAAAACAAATCAATGGTCTGTACTAATGACTATAAGCCTGAAAGTAACATACTTCTAGAAGGATCGTATCGTCTTGAATATATGGTACTGTAACTGTTAGATATGTTTTATAGCAAAGGCATCTAATAAATGCAATCACAAGTTTTTAACCTTATCTTATTTTAGCATTTCATATGTC